CCTTTTTTCAACTAGAAAGAACATTTTGTGGTTCTTAAAGGTTCTTCATGGAACCATCAATGCCAATAAAGAACCTTAATTGTTTGTAAGGAATATTTTAATAATCTAAATAATTATTAGATTTTCACTATAAAGAACCTTTTGTGTTTCTGATGGATCCATTGAGTGTAAGAACCATTTTGGGTTCCCCAAAGAACCTTAAAGAAAGAAAGTAAAAGATCAATTTTTTCTTAGTTAAAAGAACATTTTAATCATCTGAAGAAACTTTTTCATCCATAAAGAACCTTTTGTGTAATGGAGAGGTCCCATGGACAGTAAAAAAAAAAATATATGCATGCACACTGCACAGGTTCCAAAAAGGAGTTTTGCAGCAATGCCTATAGAAAGAACTATTTTGGGTTAGATTTTTTGGCATCTGATGAAGCTTCTTCCACCATAAAGAACCTTTTTTGCAATGGAAAGTTTCCGTGGGTGGTAAAGGTTCTTAATGGAATTGGAACCATAGATGCCTGCTTTTAGAACCTTCCTTTTTAAGTGTATATTCTGAGTCTTATGAAACCATATGATTGCTTTGCATGAGAAAATGATTGAAATATTGTGAAAAATCTCAATATAGTAAAAGTCATTGGGGTCCAATATTTTTTGCACTCCATTTTACGTTCAATGGGCCTCATTCATGAAACACGAGCAGAACGAATTTTTGTGTAAATCGTTCGTAAAGCCGTTCTGATGTAAACTTTCGAATTCATGAAAATGTTCGTATTTTCAAAATGTTAGTTGGTAGGAAAGAAATTTACACCTGCTCCCTACCATGTGTAAATGGTGCATAAAACATTCAAACGTTCTGTATTCTTTTAGACAATGAATTTGATGCACTGCCATTATAATATTTTACAAGTTTGTTTGCTCCATTTTTAGTTTTTTTTGTAGCTGAGAGTTGATAAACTGTGTAGCTTTGGGTAAAACGCAGCGCTTGTCAGTCACTGTCACTTTTTACCCAGCCGTCCAATCAATGGAGGGGCGGGAAAAATACTACACCGACAAATCATCCTACTTGTACAACAACTGAACAACAATAGAGAAGTTAATATTGCTGGTTACTGCATTTTTATATTCAGTAATATTCTTCAAAATGAGATACTAGTAATACGTTACTGCCGTGGATATTTCAAATCATAGCAACCAAAGCATCTCTCAGCTAGAAAAACGCTGTGCCACCAAAGCGTTCTCCAGCACCACCAGCTGGCCGTTTTAAGAAGAGTGCCTGACAGTTTTTCAGCTGGCTAAAAACGCTTTGGTGGACACACATTATTGAATATTTATTGTTAGGCATATGGCCTATTAGTCTTTTTTGCATTTATGCAATATACTGGAGCCAAACCTGAGAAAGTAGACCAGAATATTCCACTGCGTTCCTGGACATGCAATTTACGTAGCTGTAATTCATAAGCGATTATGGATTATGCTAATTGTGAATGAGCGTGCACGAGCGCCCTATTTACGAATGATTGGAATTCATTAACATACACATGTTTAACTAACAAATATGAGCCCGTATTCACAAAACATCTTAAGCATGAATACGGGCCCTGATGTGTAAGAAGTGTTTGTGAATTCGGAGGAGAGTATTCGGGAAGGTCCGTTTTACACGCAAATTACTCCGAATTTACTCCTATATTTACGAATGTTTCATGAATGAGGCCCATTGTTTTTTTTTTACGACAAAAGAAAGTCATACATGTTTTTAATGAGGTGAGTAAATGACGACAGAATTTGAGTTAAGTTGTTGTTCACTGATAGTGGTGAAAAATTAACACTCTGTTCCTTTAAATCTCAAACCACTATTGAACGCCACATTATTTTAATTAGGTAGGATCTCCCACACAGAGTTTCCACAATTGCATTCCTGATGTTACACAACGGGGTCGTCGGAGAGTCATCGTCAGTGTTATGTCCCGTTAAATCATGTTTATGACAGGTACAAGCCGACTCCATTCGAAAGAATGATCAGCAGATGGGTGTCACACAAATCATAATGCCACAGCCCAAGTGGTGAGGAAATAGGCGTCTTTTTGTAGCCTAGTCATCATTCTTCTGGGTGGATATTAGCCATAGGTGTATTGACAGCTGAGAAAACAGCAAGGGGATTTGAGATCTCTTCATACCTTAATTTTCCCTGCTCTCCTTCTCACTGAGGAGAGATTTAATTCTCTGTAATTACTTTATTGACTCATTTGCAGAGCTGAATTGGCTCCAATCTGTCATCAATAAAACATACACAGAGATGAGGAACAGCACAGCAATGCTTAAGTACATCATAGTGGGAGGCAAATTTTCCTTCAACGGGGAGAGTGTCATGGCAAGCCTGGTAATTCGGCATCCATATGTGACAATCTTATGTAAAGCATAACATAATTTATGTTACCCAAAATTATCCTGAAATTACTCAATTCTGCATAATCTAATGCAGAACTATTGAGCAAAATGACTAAACAGTTGCAGAAGCCTGCTGATTCTCTCACCTCCTGCAATCCTTTGTATTTATTTGCTAATGTTATTTTTTACTCGCATTTGACTTTTCAATATGAATTTTGACAATGGTTGTAAAAGGAAAAAGATGTGTCACATTATACAAAAGTTGTTATCTAGATGAGGTGAAATGAGAGCTTATATGCCTAATTGTATTTAGTTAACAACTGAAATTCACTGAAAACTTTTAGAACATACAGCCGTAGAAATGTGACTTGACTAATGGTGAAATATATGAATGATGTACGTGTCATATACAAATAATTAACGAAAGCATTATACCATTCTGAAGTCTTATGTTGCTCATTGTTCACATTTTCATAAACCAGCTAGGAAACTGTATAATATTCAGAAAATGTAGGATATAGTAACACAATAGTAGGATTTGTAATGATAATTGTATTTTCACGGCATTTGGAGGCAAAGCTCACTATTAAAAAAATAAATAAAATACGTAAACAAAAATAACAAAAATAGTTAAAAATAATTTACATAGCTTAGTTTAATTAACTAAATTGAGTTTAATATTTAACTTAATAGTTCACTATAAAAAATGCAGACTTGATTTTTTTTCCAAAATTTACATTGATTATCTGAATTAACTGATTCACTATAATAAATCAGATTTTTAGAGAGAATGAACCATTAAAATGTTAACCACATTGTGTGCCAGGATTGAACTTGCGTTGCCAGCATGAGCACCACAGCTCAAGAGCACATGTGATAACCACCAGGCCACACAAAGTTTTTAAAAGATGGAAGCTTGGAGGACATTTAATTATCTTTGCCATTTCAAACATTCAGAGGAAAAAAAAATCTCTTACCACAGTTGTTGACCTTCGGCATAATGGCAGAGAATAATTAAAGAAGAGAAATGTCTGAGCTCTATTTGGATCCCACTCGGATAATGAGAGCTGTTAACTCAAACTGAGTTATTCCTGGCCCTGAAATCTTGAGACTTGAATTGCTCTGGTAATGCAACCAAGTTATGTATGCATACTTTTAAATTGCTTGAATTGTGGTGACATGGATATGGCGACATCATCATACAGGTAAATATACTGAAAATAGATTACAAGCGCAAAACTACAAGTTACTCTCGGAGAAACATTGTTTAGGTAATTAAGTGAGTTGTGCTTCGGCTTCATTAAAAATGCCAACGGAAGGTTGCTGCTTGGGCGCGCATCGCTGATTTCATGATTCATGGATTCATGGATCAGTGCGAATGTCACTAACAGCACCAGAACTCTCCTAATAACAACAAAAAAAAAGAAAGATATCCGAAAAAGATTTCTTATGAGCTGGTAAGTAGCTTATACGTCGTAGTTGTTTTGACTTGTTGTTGTTTTAAAGCTGCTTTACAGCAGAATTGATCAGTTTGCATCAATTTAATTATTATTTTCCTGTTTGTCCCTGCTGCTTTGAAACCATCTGTGTTGTATAAAGAGCTATATAATGTTGACTTGACTTGTTGAAATCAATTGTTTTAAAATTACGTCACAAATGTTTGGCAGAGATGACACACAGATTTCTTGATATTTCTTGTCAAAAATTGTTGAAAATGCTACTTCTAGGCAAATAGAAATAAGCAAACTGTTTTAGAGATTGGCGACATAAACAGTAGTAGTTTAAAATAGTTTTTTTGAACTTAGTCATTGCAAAACAAATGTAATGCTTATATGCAAACTATGTTGATTCATGTTTTATTATGGGTGCTTTCACTTTCCCTTTTTACTTGAAAAATGTTCATTTCGAGGTTCACCTGTTGCGACTTCAGTCTTCCCCTGCATATAGTATTAGCCTGACCTGCTTTCTTTTATGTACGGATATGACGTTGTAATGGAATTCTTTAATACTGTTAATTCTTTTTATTTGCCATGACAACGTAAACACGAACAACAATATTCAGTTGAAATCCATCCCGGCAAATCAAAAATATAAATAATTATTATTATTGGCTCTCCACTGTGGTTTAGAATTAGCCAAAAACCTTGTTTGGAAGATGGTTTTATGATGTACTGGCTCGTTCTTTAAATGAAAAACATAGTGTTGTTACATGTTTTAGCATTAAGAATTTAAAAACGTGCATGTACTTGATTCAGTGAGTCACTTATTTTTTGTCTGAATCAACAGATTCACTAGAGTGAATCAAATTGTCCAGTGTTATGAATGAGTGAAAGAAACGATTAGATGAACTGATACACTGAAAAGAATCAGTCCTTTCATCGCTACAAATAGGATCAAACCAGTTCATCAATATGATCAGAATTTCCAGCCATACATATGAGAGAGAGGATCAGTTCACTGGAATAAATAATGGTATCTACTTTGTCAATGTGACATTAAAAAAAGCAATATAGCCGTTGTTCCATTTGAATTAAAAAGAAAACCCTAGGCCACTGTCTGTGTAATAAAAAGGGGGCTGTAAAGTTAGTAGCACTTCTACTTTTAGCTAGTTAGTCCCAGCAAATATGTCTGCAGCCTTCAGCAGCTTCAGAAGCTTGTGTTGGTAATGAAAGATTTATCCGTCCTAACCTTGACTCGCATCAACTCTTCTGTTGTCTTTCTCTTTTTGTAGGTGTGTGTGGGCAGCAGGCGTTCAAGACAGAGCCACGTAATGTGACGGTCAGGGCGGGGGCCACAGCTCTGCTGAAGTGTGAAGTGCTGAGGGCCTCAGGGGCCGTGCAGTGGGTTAAAGATGGGCTGCTCCTGGGACTTCAGAGATCGCTGCCTGGCTACTCACGCTACAGCATGACAGGAGACCAGCAGAAAGGTGAGAACTCGGAGGGATGGAAAGAATGACATGCGGTGATTAAAAACAAACGTCTACAAGTTGCTGAGATGTTTGCTGACATGTTGGTAGATGTGCGTGAGCGAGCAACTGTCCCCAAAGAGCATGAGAATGTGAAACTCTTCTCCAAACAGATTGAGTGGAAAATGCTACAGTACACTTCACAAACTTGTAAAGCATTTATTATATATTCATTCAGACATTTATTTTAGTTAGTTAGTTATTAGTTACAATATTCCATGAATCATTGGAAAATGTTTTACTCGCAACCTCAATGGACAGATAAATAAATATATAAATAGTTAGTTAGATAGTTAGAATATTAGAATATTGAATATTGTTATTAGTAAAAAATAGTTTGTGGTAAATATTTTATATAATTTTATTTACAATAATTTTTAGTATTTTTATATGTATATATTTTGTAGAAATTTTATTTTATATATTACAATACCACATTTTGGTTTTGGGATAAAATGTGACCTAGAATGTTCTTGACATATTTTGTGAGATTACCATTAATATTTTGTTGTCTTGGGTAGACGCATTGGAGTGTTTGGGATATGATAAATCGGGGAAAAATCATCTTTTTTTATTTCAGTGTGAAAGATTATTAGCATGAATCATTAGACAATGTTTTGCTCATAATCTGCAAATGCTATAGACGCCCCAGTCTCAATTTCTAGTTTAGATGCAGCCTTCCTCATCAAAATGAGCTCAGCTCTCTTAAAAACAGCTTAGCAAGATGCTATCAAAGGGCTTCTAATTTAAGCAGCGAAGACAGATTTAAGAAATTAGCTTTTTTTTGTTTCTTTTTGAGTGAGAGGAATTTAGTACAATCCCCAATTCCCTTCCATATAAATAAATACAAAAATAAAGTTAAAATCAGCTCTGAATTACTCCTATTTTTAATGTCCACTGAGAGTAAATTGAGATTATTGTGTAGTGGGCTGAGGCACTGAATAACCTATGATACTTGGCCAGCCTGCATTGTGTATATAAAAAAGCCAATTAAAAGACAATGCTAAACAAGTCCTGAGCATCTGCTCCTCTTTGTGGAGGACAAAAGCTGCGATCCGGCATAGCGAGAGAGAGGCAGTTTGTGCCAAACGCAAGTGCAAATGCTTAAAAAATGCTTATGCTATTGAATGCTACCGCTTGTGCCGTTGGGCATTGATAGCATGACTGATAAAGAGTGCCATGTAAGGGACAAACGATATCATAAAAAGACATGCAGAAGCTATCTTTAATGTTAACCCTGTCAACCTTCATCTACTGATATGCGCGTCCACACGAGTTCTCGCAAGCGGCGTGACAAGCCGTAGGTATGCGCACACACTCTGATACTTCGCCAAAGGAAATGGGTGAGAGAACAGGCCAGAGTTCCCGTCGGCGTTTCATATTGGTTGTCAGAGGCGTAATTATTGGACTTCTTTAAACACGCGCTCGCGAACACCCCGAACCGCAACACCGTGGCAGTGTGTACCGAGTGCAATTTCAAGAGAGTGGAAAATCATTAATGATTTGAAAGTGGTTTCCTCTCCTTCTATGATCACATAGATCTGAAAATTGCTGCTGGTTGGTGTTAATTATCCTGCCATCCTGGCTGACACCTCCTTTTTTCAGCCGTGGAAGTTGTCATATCAGGATACTATTTTCTGCATGTTAGTTTTCTTCAGAGGGGAGGAGAAAAGGAAAAAAGGGGAAAAGAAAAATGTTAAAAGCTCGAACAGCTTGCATAAACTTCGCCCGAGCAGCCATTAATCCTGGCAGAATGGTAGTTGAACAAACAACTCCTTGGTGGCATGATATTCTGCTAGTAAATAACAAGAATCTTGCACACAAAGGAGCGATGTTGAAGGCCTGCATCAAATAGAATGAAGCACGTTCTTCTCTCCGCAGCGTTTGTCGCTAATTGGGGCCATTCATTTGAGATTGTATACAAATTTTGCACCGGCGCCATTTGACAATTGTAATTTCTTTACTCTGATTTGTTTCTGGCTAATTAAAAGTGGATTTCAAGAAGCATTTGAACATCTTCACATGTGTGTTAATGGTGGGAACTCTTCAAATATGCTTTTAAAAACTCAAAACATCAGAGCATACGTTCAAAGAATGTTCTGGGTTAAGTAAACTCGTTAAGTTAAAACAAGCAACACGCATTTCTTGTAATGCACTTACATTGTAAGTCTATGGTACCAGCATTCTGAGTTAAAAAACATATACTAAAGTTTAAAAGTTTGGGGTCCAAAGTTTTTTTTGGGGAAAGAAATGAATACTTTAATTCAGCAAGGATGCATTGAATTGACAAAATGTGACAGTAAAGACTTTCAGTAAAAACACTTCAGTATAGGGACCAATTCTCACTATTAACTAGTTGCTTATTAGCATGCATATTATTAACATATTGTTTGTTAATAGCGAGAATTGGACATTAAAATAAAGTGTGACCACAAATTGAAATAAATGTTAAATTTATAAATAAAACTTCCTATTAATCAAAGAATCCTGAAAAGGATCACGGTCTACACAAACTTAAGCAGCAGCACAACAGTTTTCAATATTGATAATAATAATAAATGTTTGAGCAGCAAATCAGCATATTAGAATGATTTCTGAAGGATCGTGTGACACTGAAGACTGGAGTAATGATGCTGAAAATTCAGCTTTGCATCCCAGAAATAAATTACATTTTAAAATATATTCAAATGGAGAACAGTTTTTTAAAATAGTAATAATATTTTACAATATTACTGTATTTCTGGTCAAATAAATGATTTGAATTGCAGTGTATATTCATATGTTTGTAAACATCATTTTTAAAGGTTTAACTACTTTTCTAGGCAGACAAAAAGAAGTTATAAACATACATTTTGGGAGAAGCTTGTTCATACAATCCTGTCAATAATATCACAAGGAGTATTACATTTAATGGTGGTAATACTATTAAATAATAATTGGGTAATACTATTAAATAATAATAATAATTTAAATAATAATACTAATTAAATAATAATTTAATAGTATTTCTAATACTATTAAATAATAATACTAATAATTGTCAATTCAATGCATCCTTGCTGAATTAAAGTATTCATTTCTTTCCCCAAAAAAACCTTTGGACCCCAAACTTTTAAACTTTAGTATATGTTTTTAAACTCAGAAATGCTAAATGACTAAATGTAAATGTATTAAGTTGTCGTAACCCTGAATGTTCATTCAATACCCTCAAGCCATTTCCACTCCATTGTCCGTGTGAACAGTAAGATGACATTTCTCTTATATTCTCTTCTTTCCTCCTCATAATTTCTGCTCTGTCTGCTTTCTCCTACAGGCCAGTACCATCTTCAAATTCTCAACCTGAATTTGGAAGATGACGGCCCCTTCGAGTGCCAAGTGGGCCGTTTCGTGAGCAGCCGCGCCATCGTGTCCCGTACAGCCTGGCTCAATGTGCAGAGTAAGCAATCCCATCTTTTACCGCCGAGCAAGGAGTGGGGGGGTGCAAATGGGGAAAATCAGCACGTGGGACAACTTTAGCCATGACAGATCGCTCAACCAAGGCCGCTAATGGCTGCGCATGCACTGAAAAGGTGACACGCGGTGGCAAACCTAAACCTGTCACCATAGCCACATTCAGGGTACTAATGAGCCGTGGAGTTTCTCTGCAGTGTGGTGGAGAATCCCTTGTGCTACACTTCAGATAAAGTCCCATTGGTCACAGGTGTATGACAGCGGTGATAGCACGCATTAGTGATGTGGCCAATTAGTTAGCGTGCTTGGCCACAGCGGATAGGGCACTTAGAGCGGGCAACATACCTGCGCGAACAACGTGAGCTGAAGAGAGATCCTCCTGCTCGTGGGTGAGAACTTTTCTTTGAAATTAGTTTCTTTTTAAACTCCACAGTGAAATATAACATGTCCAGATGGGGTTCGCTTTGCCCTTTGCTGTAGAAACTTCTATACAGGTAGTCAAGTACTGCTATGGTTTCTGAGAGGGAAATGAAGATTTGAAAAGAGCTAAAAAATTTAAGTGCAGGATTTCTTCCCATGGTTGTCGAGGTCAGTGCAATATATCGGTTTGTGACTTGGCTGTGATTCTCTTTGTATTGGGCGAATCACCCTTTGAGAATAGCTGAAGGAAATTCATAAGACATCAGGGGGAAGGAGTTTGACTTTGTGTCAAATTGATTTCGGTGAAAGATGCTGGTAGTTATTGGTTAAATTCTGTGCTGGTGTTCTTTCCAATCAGAGTTCAATTTGAGGATATTTGGAGCCGTTTCAACATGTCTTGAGCACTCTAGCACTGAGGATGTTATTACTCGACCGTTCTTGACTCGTTTTGATTCAGACATGAGAGGGAGACGGAGTCACTGAGTTGCTAACTTGAGAACAGCTCCGATCGGATCATTGTGTGAGTGAGTTGATGAATCTAGAATCACTTGGACCTGACAGACTGATTCCCAAATGAATTGTTCAGTTGATTTGAACTGATTAAAAAAAGGACTAACTGAAAAGAGTGATTGATTGAGTTTTGTGTGTGTGTGTGTGTGTGTGTATAAATTCACAATATATTTTCTAAAAATGTACTGTTTTTTTATAATTGCGTATGTATGTATGTATAATAAAATAAATGGTATATTTATAATTACAAACAAATGCAATAAAAATTAAATCATGTCTTCCAATTAATCAGAATCAGAATCAGAATCAGAATGAGCTTTATTGCCAGGTATGTTTACACATACGAGGAATTTGTTTTCGTGACAGAAGCTTCCACAGTGTAACAGAATGACAGTGACAGAACAAAAAACACAGATAATAAAAAATAGAACAAGTAAATAAGGAATAAAAATATATAAATTGACAGTTGTATGTGCAGGTATATTACAATAGACAGTTTTTGTATGTACAGGTACTGTATATTATGTGCAAATTTGAAGTGTAGACTGAGTATGAGTGTTAGATAAATAAGTGTATGAGTGAATAAATAGTGTGTGTTCCACAGTTATTGTTAAGTGTTCATGAGATGGATGGCCTGAGGGAAGAAACTGTTCCTGTGTCTGGTCGTTCTGGTGCTCAGTGCTCTGTAGCGTCGACCAGATGGCAACAGTTCAAAGAGGGAGTGTGCTGGATGTGAGGGGTCCCAGAGTGA